CCACCTGTTCCTCCACCTGTTCCTTCACCTATTCCTCCAACTGTTCCTCCAACTGTTCATCTACCTGTTCCTTCACCTGTTCCTTCACCTGTTCCTCCACCTGTTCCTTCACCTGTTCCTCCAACTGTTCCTCCAACTGTTCATCTACCTGTTCCTCCACCTGTTCCTTCACCTGTTCCTCCCAACTGTTCCTCCACCTGTTCCTCCACCTGTTCATCTACCTGTTCCTTCACCTGTTCCTTCACCTGTTCCTCCACCTGTTCCTTCACCTGTTCCTCCAACTGTTCCTCCAACTGTTCATCTACCTGTTCCTCCACCTGTTCCTCCACCTGTTCCTTCACCTGTTCCTCCCAACTGTTCCTCCACCTGTTCCTCCAACTGTTCATCTACCTGTTCCTTCACCTGTACATCTACCTGTTCCTCCACCTGTTCCTTCACCTGTTCCTCCAACTGTTCCTTCACCTGTTCCTCCACCTGTTCCTCCAACTGTTCATCTATCTGTTCCTTCACCTGTTCCTTCACCTGTTCCTCCACCTGTTCCTTCACCTGTTCCTCCAACTGTTCCTCCAACTGTTCATCTACCTGTTCCTTCACCTGTACATCTACCTGTTCCTCCACCTGTTCCTTCACCTGTTCCTTCACCTGTTCCTCCAACTGTTCCTCCAACTGTTCATCTACCTGTTCCTCCACCTGTTCCTTCACCTGTTCCTCCAACTGTTCATCTACCTGTTCCTCCACCTGTTCCTTCACCTGTTCCTTCACCTGTTCCTCCAACTGTTCCTCCACCTGTTCCGCTACCTTATCCTCTACCTGCTTCTCCCCCTGTTCCTCTGTGGACTTCTTCCCTCCGTGTGACGGCTCACCAGCTGGACAGGCGCCGCCACCGTGACCGTGGGGCTTGACAGGCAGTCCGGTGATGATCACATCATTCATTCTGGTGTTCTGATCTAGGTCAGCCATCTGGTCTTCCCAAACTGCCCTCCATTTTTTATTTTCCTCATTTAGCATCGGAAATCCTTCACCTCTTCATCCAGGTCCAGGATAATTTTCCTTATCTCCTCTAAATCCTCCAAGGCTGGATTCTTCTTAGGGAACATGCTGGCTTCAGGAATGTAAACACGCAACAGCCTGTTGTGTAATTATTACACATTGGAAACCTGATGCACCAGTAATAATTCTGCTGCAGATTTTTAGATCCCCAGGTTTTAAAAACCAGACCAAGCATTTCTTTAAAAACCTCCAGGTTTTCACAGCAGGTAAACATAGGAGAGAACTAACTTTCTATTAAATCATAAGATTACTGCAGTAGCACACTGTAAAAAATAAAAACGGTGTTAAAAGCCAGAAGAATAAAGATGTTATTTGTTGTTTGATTTTTTTTTTTTTTTTTTTACAGTGTCCTGTCTGGCAAGGTGGCAATAAGAATAATTGTCTTGATGCCAAAAGGAGCCCAACAGATTTTACTTTCACAAGTGTAGCGGTATGGCAATTGCCATACTGCTCCACTTGTTTCATGTATATAAATTGCTTTATTATAATTATGCAGGGAGTTTTACAGTTCATATGGACACTGCAATGTAAGTAGAGCAGAAAAACAGAAGAAGAAGAAGGAAAAAGAAAAAGAAAAACACAGGACAAAAGATGAAAGAAAGAGGAGATAGGAAGGAGACAATGACAAAACATTTTCAGTCTGCTTCAACACCTGTAATGAGATGGAAAAAAAAAAAAAAAAAAAAAAAAAAAAAAGAACAGCACAACCAAAAAACATGGTAAGAGATATACAATAAAGAAAACACCTTGAAACTATCGCTAACGTAATATTATTAAGTCTGACATGTACTCTGTGTTACCTGAAGATATGAATGTGGGGTTTCTGTTTGGAAGTGAATCTCTAAGTACCTGAAGCCTAGCACCTGTAGTTGTTTGTGAGGGTGAACTTGTGCATGTAAAGTTTTAACCATAGAAAAAATGCTCAATAGTGGTTGTGGAGAGCCGGAGAGGCACACCCCCCAGAGCACTGAGTCCAGCGCCGGGAGACCCAAAGCCCCAGGCGCCCAAGGGGACCCCAGAAGCGAAGGCACCAAGGCGGGGCCAGCCCCGGAAACCAGACCCCACCAAGGCAGGAGGAGAGACAGCCACGAGGAAGCCCCCCAGCCACCGCCATGCCGGCGCCCCGGGGAGCCGCGGGGACGAGTCCGCGGGCCCCGCCGGCAGCCGGCCACCCCGAAGTAGGGCCGGGCACCGAACACCAGCCCCCCCACGGCGCCGACCGAAACGCCCCAGCCCCACAGAGCACCGAAACACGCCCCGCCCCCCAGCACCAAGCCCCGGCGACCGGCCGCAACACCCACCGCGACCGCACCACCCAGGAAAACACTCAGGCGGCCCCGCCCCCGGCCGGGGCCCATGCGCATCCGCCGCGAACCGGCCGCGAACGCCGCGGGACCCCCCCAAAACGCCCCCACGGCCAAAAGCGCAGCCCCACCCCACCAAGACCGATGCCAACAGCGCGCAACGAAACACACCGCGCACAGAATCAGCCCGAGAGCAGAAAAGCCGCCCGGCGCAAAACCGCAAGAAGAGCAGACCGCAGCCGGCGCAACCACCCCCCCCAGCAGCCCGAGGGGCAGCACAAAGCCAGAGCGGAGCGAACCGCGCCGCCCCCCCCACCGGACGAAGCCAAAGCAGTCCAGCCACGTCCGCCGCCCCCCCCCGCCGCCCGCACCAGGCCCTGACACGCGGCCGGAGCAGCTCCGCCGCCCCGGCCCCCCACCACGCGCCGGCCATAGCCACTCCAGGCCCCCACCCGCCCCGCAGCCCCACCCGCCGCGATCAGCGGGAACAGAGCAGCCCCGCCATGCCTCCAGGAGGGAAAAACCCACCCGAATACCTAGCCAGCGCAGCCAGCCCGCCCAGACCGGCCCCCCAACACTACCCCCGCCGGAGCCGCCCGGACCCCCACACACCAGCGGCGCGCCGCCAGCAGGACCCCCACCCAGCAGGCCCGCCCGCCCCCCGAGAAAACAGACATGCCAAACCCCCCAAAGGAAGAAGAAAAAAAAAAAAAAAAAAAAAAAAAAACAATGCCCCCACAATGCGACAGCGGACACCAGACACCGACCCGCCCGCAACCGCTCCCCCCCACCGAGGAAGAGAAAAAAAAAGATAAATAAATAGGTAAATTAATTAATTAATTAATAATTACAATTAAAATAAATAGGCAAGAGGAGAAGTGCGAGCGGAAAAACCGGAGCCCAAAACAGGACCCAAGACCACCGCACCTCCCCCCCCCCCCCCCCCGAACCGGTACCACAGAACCGGCATAGGAAAGAAACACCGCCCAGGAACCGGCATCGTAGCGAAGGCACCGGCACCGACCCCGAAAATCCCCGAACAACACCAGATGTATTTGGGAGAGGGTGCGGTTGAGACCCCAACCTGGGAGAAAAAAAAAAAAAAACACACCATCTCAATCATGCCTTCCCTCCCTAGTGCCCCCACTCGTACCACAGGAAAAAAAAAAAAAAAAAAAAAAATTTAATAAAATAATAATAATAATAAATAAAGAAAATAACAACGCGGACACACATTCACACATAACACTCACATCCAATAATACCAGGACCAAAAACCCGGTGACACCGGTGGTCGGTCCCGGGACTATCGGATGACCCCATAAGTGAACCTAAAATCCGGATGTGAGGGGAGGGGAGCGGCGACACCGCCACACCAACCCATCTCTTTCCTGCTTCAAGCCCGGCCCCCCACCCCGCACACGGACCGGACCACCCCCAGCAAGAGCCCCCCCCGGGACCGGGGCCCACCCATCCCGCGCCGGCCACCCAACCAGAACCGCCCCCCCCCCCCGAACAGAAAGAAAAAAAAAAAAAAAAAAAAAAAAAAAACCTTCAACCAGGCACTTCATGCCCCTCCATCCAACCTTCTTTGGGGAGAGCAGAGGTGACAGCCCCGCCACCAGCAGGCCACCTAGGCCCCGCAGCCAGCCCCAGCCAAAACCACGGACCAGGCGGCCCGCTCTTCCTCCAGGCCCCAGACTCCAGGCGGCAGCCGGAGAACAGGGGTGTGAGAAGACCCCGATCCTCCCTGCGCCCGCTCGGATGTGGTGTTGTTGCGTGTTGCTCTCAGATGCAATTAAAACTGGGAGTACCAAGAGGGGGTGTCCGGCACACTCCACCCCCCCTCCAGGAGATAGACGGTGCCAGCACACCCCCCCCTTCAACAACCCTCAACCCTCAATGTCTAGATGTGAGAGGGGATGGAGGAGGCCGACCGTGGTGAGGCCCATAAAATAAGCCCCCCCCCTGTGGCCCTGACCCCCACCCCCCGAAAATGCCCTACATAGATGTGTGTTGTGAAAATGATGTAGATGGTTGTTGTTTGATTTAAAAGCATCAGCCGGGAGATTTAGTCTCTAGTGACAGAGCATCAAATCTCATCCCAGAGCTTCGGCCTACGAAGGAAGAAACCTTATCTGAGGAAAGCAGATCAGGATCAGGAAAGCCGCTTGTTGGGCAAATATGTAAGGCTGTTAAGAGACAGAAACACAAATCAAATCAGTTCACTCATCCGTTGGTGAGGAACAGTTCTTAATCAGGCAAAAACCAGACTTTGACTTTCAGAGTAAGATGTCCGCATGGATGGACTCAAGTCACATCACTCTTTAATGCAACATGTTTCGACTCGTGTGTCAAATCTTAGACGGCTGTTTAAACACCATGACTGATTTAGTAACAGAGAGGATTTATGGATTTGTCAATTTGTTACTTTTATCTTGTTTGGTTGTATTTTCCTAAACAAGATTCTCAACAACACATAAGCCTCAGGCCCTGCTGGTTCCTACTCACACCAAGCGGCGATGCTCAGAGGCACAGCAACACGATATGGAGACAGTCGCACTCAGAAGTAATTTGAATGCTTGAACGCTTGCATGAATCATGTCATGAGTTGTGATTCTCTCGCTCTGTTTCAATCTCTGCCAGGGTATCGCAGGGACAGACGTGGCCAAAGAGGCGTCCGACATCATCTTGACTGATGACAACTTCAGCAGTATCGTCAAGGCAGTGATGTGGGGACGAAACGTCTACGATAGCATCTCCAAGTTCCTGCAGTTCCAGCTCACAGTCAATGTAGTGGCTGTCATCGTGGCCTTCACCGGCGCCTGCATCACCCAGGTGGACAGCTTTATGCACGCTCATACATGCTGGCACACACTCACTTTTATATGATGAAGACACACAAATGTCGCTCCTGTAAACATCACTCACCTTTTATCTGCACAGACAAAGATAGCAGAAAATGCTTTTATTGCATTTTTAAAACTGGGCTTATGTAAGCAGTGATGTCCAGGTCAGAGAAACAACGTACATTCATGTGGAAGGAAGACCAATCTTAACAAAAATGTACAGTCAGGTCCATAAATATTGGGACATCAACACAATTCTAATCTTTTTGGCTCTATACACCACCACAATGGATATGAAATGAAACAAACAAGATGTGCTTTATCTGCAGACTTTCAGCTTTAATTTCAGGGTATTTACATCCAAATCAGATGAACGGTGTAGGAATTACAACAGTGTGTATATGTGCCTGCCACTTTTTAAGGGACCAAAAATAATGGGACAGATTAATAATCATAAATCAAACTTTTACTCTTTAATACTTTGTTGCAAATCCTTTGCAGTCAATTACAGCCTGAAGTCTGGAAGGCATAGACATCACCAGACGCTGGGTTTCATCCCTGGTGATGCTCTGCCAGGCCTCTACTGCAACGGTCTTCAGTTCCTGCTTGTTCTTGGGGCATTTTCCCTTCAGTTTTGTCCTCAGCAAGCCAAATGCATGCTTAATCGGATTCAAGTCAGGTGATTGACTTGGCCATTGCATAACATTCCACTTCTTTCCCTTACAAAACTCTTTGGTTGCTATCGCAGTATGCCTTGGGTCATTGTCCATCTGCACTGTGAAGCGCCGTCCAATGAGTTCTGAAGCATTTGGCTGAATATGGGCGGATAATATTACCCGAAACACTTCAGAATTCATCCTGCTGTTTTTGTCAGCAGTCACACCATCAATAAATACAAGAGAACCAGTTCCATTGGCAGCCATACATGCCCACGCCATGACACTACCACCACCATGCTTCACTGATGAGGTGGTATGCTTTGGATCATTAGCAGTTCCTTTCCTTCTCCACACTCTTCTCTCTCCATCACTCTGGTACAAGTTGGTCTTGGTCTCATCCGTCCAAAGGATGTTGTTCCAGAACTGTGAAGGCTTTTTTAGATGTTGTTTGGCAAACTCTAATCTGGCCTTCCAGTTTTGAGGCTCACCAATGGTTTACATCTTATGGTAAACCCTCTGTATTCACCCTGGTGAAGTCTTCTCTTGATTGCTGACTTTAAAACACATACACCTACCTCCTGGAGAGTGTTCTTGATCTGGCCAACTGTTGTGAAGGGTGTTTTCTTCACCAGGGAAAGAATTCTTCGGTCATCCACCACAGTGGTTTTCCGTGGTCTTCCGGGTCTTTTGGTGTTGCTGAGTTCATCGGTGCGTTCTGTCTTCTTAAGAATGTTCCAAACACTTGATTTGGCCACACCTAATGTTTTAGCTATCTCTCTGATGGGTTTGTTTTGATTTTTCAGCCTAATGATGGCTTGCCTTACTGATAGCGACAGCTCTTTAGATCTCATATTGAGAGTTGACAGCAACAGATTCCAAATGCAAATAGCAGACTTAAAATGAACTCTGGACCTTTTATCTGCTCCTTGTAAATGGGATAATGAGGGAATAGCACACACCTGGCCATGGAACAGTTGAGCAGAAGATTGTCCCATTACTTTTGGTCCCTTAAAAAGTGGCTGGCACATATACACACTGTTGTAATTCCTACACCGTTCATCTGATTTGGATGTAAATACCCTCAAATTAAAGCTGAAAGTCTGCAGATAAAGCACATCAACATTTATTTCATTTCAAATCCATTGTGGTGGTGTATAGAGCCAAAATGATTAGAATTGTGTTGATGTCCCAATATTTATGGACCTGACTGTATTTGTTAAAGATAGAGCAAGATTATATTCCTGCATGAGATTGGGATTTAATGAAAAGTTGATCAAAGTAATGACAGGTTGGTTTAGGAGAACCGGGTTAAGAAGGCTAAGAGTTTTATTGAAAATGGGTAAAATGTGTTAAACTGTTTGGTTATGTAGGTACCAATATGGAGGATTATGTTATGGAGGCATTATAATATGGAGGATTATGTTATGGAGGAACTATTACGACATATTGTCTGCTCCAGTGATGTAATGGAGAACATAGCCAAATCTCCATGGTCTTCGTTAAAGTTCCTGGTGAGCCTATCCTCCCAGTGCCTTGGTTGGATTAAACATATGTTCACTACAAAATGAAATAACATGAATTGATTTATTGCAGAACAAGTTTCTGATAGCAGCGTGATCTGTGACACAGGTTTCTGGATGAAAATGTCTCTGCAGGATTCTCCTCTGAAGGCGGTGCAGATGCTTTGGGTGAATTTGATCATGGACACGTTTGCCTCCCTCGCTCTGGCTACCGAGCCCCCCACTGAGGCCCTGTTGCTACGGAAACCCTACGGGCGAAACAACCCGCTCATCTCTCTCACCATGATGAAGAACATCCTGGGCCATGGGGTCTACCAGCTGGTCATCATCTTCACTTTGCTCTTTATAGGTAAACACATTTCTTAACACATCCAACTAGTAAAGCTTGTTTTCTGAATTCCTAATCCCATCTGACCATCTCCACACCTCCCAATCTAAACGTCCTTGCAACAGAAAGAACTCTGGAATGACAGATTATGAAAGCTATTTAGCAAACGGTTCATGTCCCAAACTATTTCCTGACTCCCTGAATCTCAAACTAAAGTCCGTCAAATAGATGCATATTTAAAGGTCCAAACACACAGTTTGTTGAACTGAAGATGTCAAAACACTTTCATCAAAGAAAGCAGCAGAAAATAATTCCTCCTTTGTGGAGACGCAGAAAGAAGGAGTCAGCCTGGCAGCTGTCTGACTCACCGGATGTCTGTTGCGGGTAATTGGCCTGTTTTTACCAGAGTTCTCCTCATGTTAGCATAAAGCACTATTGGTTGGTTCAAGGACAACAGGAGGACAAGAGGAAAACCAGAAAAGGAGGAGTTTCTGTGTCTCTTTGTTTTCCTTCCAAAGAGCCAGAATTTCCTCTGAACATTTAGGAGTGTCCAAAAAGGCTCGTCCTTTCCACACCTTCACAGTTCTTCATCATCCAACGGTGGGCTAATCTGCGTTTGACAGTAACCAAAGGAAAAAGTAAACCTTTACTCTGAAGTAGTAGTAGTGATAAAAAGGTTTATTCAGGTAACATTGAGAAATGTTCAACCTAAAGGGGCCCAATAAGCTAAAATAAATCAAATATGCCAAACGTTTGTCTCCATAAAGTTTACAAAGTTCTTTTTGAGCCTGAAATAATTTTTGCAGCCTGCACGATTATCAGGCATAAACTGTGTTCAATTTAAAAATAATGTATTAATCCAAAAAGGGAAATTAAACATTGCAGATGCTGATGCTGTAGGCAGGAAGGATCTCCTGTAGCGGTCTGTCTTGCAGGGGATCTGCAAGACAGCCTCTGACTGAAAAACTTTTTTTGTTCTTTAAAATCTCCATCAGAGGATGCACAGTGGTGTCCATAATAAGTCAAAAGGAATGGAGAGAGAACTGTCCCCTGTGGTGCTCCTGTGCTGCTGGATCAGACAGCTGAACCTTCGGTCTAACAACCTGTGGTCTGTTTGTCAGGTAGTCTTTGATCAAGGTGGTTGTTGATGCCTCCACCTGAGTCTGCTGGAGTTTCTCTCTAAGTCAATCAAAGACCATGATCCTCACAGTGCTGTTTGCCTTGTCTAAATGACAGTGATGGCGGCTGGCTAGCTCAAGAGGTAAATCCCCCGTCCTGCAAACAGGAAGCCTGGGTGTATATCCCAGCTGGGAGGGAATGAACTGCCGGTGTGGGTCCTTAGGCAAGACCCTTCACAATAATGCCTGCTTTGGGGAGCGGCGGCCCAATGGTTAGGGCATTGCACTTGGAATCCAGATGTTCTGAGTTAGAGCCCCACTCCCACAGACTGCCACTCTGGGTCTCTGAGCAGAGACCCTTAACCCCACACTGGGATGTGTTACTGGTGACAGTGTAATGATGCTTTCTGTTCATCCACCTGGTGCCAAAACCTTCATGCTCACCATCTCTTCTCTGCCTCTTCCATCTACAAACCTGATGAAAGAATAAAATGTTCCACAAGCAACAGTTACATCATTTTTTGTACCAATAAGGTGACGCATCAATCATTGTTTGTGGAAAATATGTTTTTTCTGCACAGTAAAGAACTGAAAACATCTGGAAGCAGAACCTGAATGATAAAAGATCCTGTTTCTGCTATAGGTCAGGATTTAATCCAACAGCTCTGAACCACTGGTGCAACATTTACTCAGCAGGGAGGCGTTGGTGTCTTCCTGGTTTACCTTCTAGGCCTCGCTGCCTCCATGCAGCTGCAACATGGCTGACTGAATGAAGTTTGGGGAGCTTTAAACTTTAGATATACAGAAACCTTACAACTGTTACTGTGATTTAGGGTTTTTTTTATGCAGAGATGAGAACAAGTGTTTTTTGTGACGTTTACATGACGCAAGTAGAAAAGTTATTGTAAGTATATCCTTTTAAACCTGTTTATATTCCACATTCTCGTACTGTAGTATTATTTGCATGCCTGAATGATCCATAGGTGAGATTTACAGAGACGTAGCAAGAAAAGTGGTAACAGGAAAACCTTAAAGGAATAGTACACCCAAAACATGATTAGCCTTCATTTTCTACTCACCCCCATGCTGAACAACACTCTGGAGTACTTCTTTGATATCTCAAATGCATCTGGAGATCTGGGAGGCTTCTTGCTGTCTGCTGACATTCAAATAATGGAGGTCTATGGCGCCCGAGGCAGAAAGGTCCATAAAAGTCCACAAAAAACCTGTCAATATTCCTCCATACTGCTCGTCCAATGTATTCCAAGTGTCCTGAGTGGGTAGCATCCAGAATTTACTCGAAACGAAGTCATTTAGAATGTTTTTAGAGCATAAACAGTAGTGTATAGGATTTCCTGAAAGCGCGCGCCTGCGCGTTCACGAGTCTACGGAAGCCGGCAGACCAAACCAGCGCATTCAGCTCGGCAAAGAACTCATGCCCTTCCTCAACACTGAAGTCCTCAGACATTTTTCTTTTGTTGTTTCTTTCTTTGCACAGGTAAACAGCACATTTCTTCTTCTACGCTTGCATTATCGGCAGAGCAGATGCTGAATGCGCACTTTCATCTGGTTTGGTCTGCCGGCTTCCGTAGCGTCCTGAACGCGCTGGCGCGCGCTTTCAGGAAATCCTATACACTACTGTTTATGCTCTAAAAACATTCTAAATGACTTCGTTTCGAGTAAATTCTGGACGCTACCCACTCAGGACACTTGGAATACATTGGACGAGCAGTATGGAGGAATATTGACACGTTTTTGTGGACTTTTATGGACCTTTCTGTCTCGGGCACCATAGACCTCCATTATTTGAATGTCAGCAGACAGCAAGAAGCCTCCCAGATCTCCAGATGCATTTGAGATATCAAAAAAGTACTCCAGAGTGTTGTTCAGCATGGGGGTGAGTAGAAAATGAAGGCTAATCATGTTTTGGGTGTACTATTCCTTTAAGGTGTAAACCTAGAAAAGGAGCCAAAATCCAGCCAACAACCATTTTTATGGATGAAGAAGGATCTGGCAACATGGAGCTAGAACTTGGGGTCGAACGTGACTAGCAGAGACACGTTCCTGGTTTTTATTTAGCTTTCCAAGTCGCTAAAGTGTTTAGATCTTTAACTGTCATGCAGAAGGCTAAAGACGCAGAATGATGTTTTTCCTCTTTCATCTGATGTTTCCTCCCCAGGCGAGCGCATCTTTAACATCGACAGCGGCCGCAACGCGCCTCTCCATTCCCCCCCCTCTGAGCATTACACAATCATCTTCAACACCTTCGTCCTCATGCAGCTTTTCAATGAGATCAACGCTCGCAAGATCCACGGAGAGAGAAACGTCTTTGACGGCATCTTTGCCAACCCCATCTTCTGCTCCATTGTTTTGGGGACCTTTGCAGTGCAGGTCAGATTAAACCTTTCACACATTAATTGGTTGGAAAAACAGTTTGGAAAACTTTGTCTGATTCTTTATCTTTTCGGTTTATTTAAATAGTACCAATTCACAGCAGATGTTATTCAAATAAATTTCAGAAACTCAATTAAATCGAGGGTGTGCTGCAACTTTTAGATTCACCCTTGGTCCCACAGCTGGATCCAATGAGTTACCTCCTCAGTATGCAGTCGGTTCCTCCAAAGTCCGCTCAATAGTCAGATTACTTGATTGCTCCTACTTAACCCTTTATAGGGCATTTAGTGAAAGACTTTAAACCTCTAAATTTCAAGCAAAGAGTACACTGCAAACAACTGAAATCTAAGTAAGTCACTTTTTCTTAAAATAAGTGCATTAATAAGTGCATTTTTTTCTTAAACTGAGCAGGTAAGTAAGATACTTTGCAAATGTAATAAGAAAATATACATTTAAAATAAGGGGGGGGATGCAGTCTCTTATTTCAAGTGCATAATATCAAATAATCTGATTTTAAGGATAAAAATACTCCTTCAACTGGGAGATTTTCTTATTTATCTACTCAAATTAAGGGTAAATACACTTACTTTAAGACATTTTCACTAATTTATAGATCATTTTTGTAGTGTGTTATTGGAATCCAGGACAAGACCTTCTTACCTTTGTAACGTTCAAAAAAGATGTATATTTTGATGGCGTAAATGAATGTCAGTGTAATAACAAGAAACACCAACTTGCCCGTATATATTAAGCAAAATAACAAAATTGCTTCTGTAGGAAATTCATGAAAAACACTCTAAGAGTAAAAGAAAAGGCACTCCATTTGTAAGGGGTGGTATGCAAGTGATCCAAAATTGTAAAAACTTGACCTATAAAGGGTTAAAAAACCTGGCCTTGATGGCAGACCAACTTCAGGTCCATCTCTAAGCTGCCCTTTATTTGTAAACTCTCATTTTAGACGAACATGGTGTCCTGGAGGTGATTCAGTCTGCTTTTAAATCTCCACATAGCACTGATTCAGCTATGCTAGACTTAGACAAACTATACTGCCATCTTGTATACAAAATGAAATTTTGATTTGTACAGCTTTTCAACAGTTAAAGAGCAGCTTAGCAGTGAAATTAACATTTCCATTTATAAAGTGCAGCAGTGATCAGAATGTAGAGAAAAGGAAACAAGTTTAAAGTCATGGAGCAAAAGGCACTTATAGGATGTTATCAAGTGTGACGCAGAGACTGGATTAGAATTCAACAGTTCGTCAGTCTGATAGCGGTGGGGAAGAAGCTGCTGCAGAACCTGCTGGTCCTGCATTGAATGCTGTGAAGCCCATAGGGCAGCAGGGAGAACAGTCCATGGTGGGGGGGTGAAGGGTAATATCATTGATGATGGTTGCCCGTCTGCAGCAGCCAGGGCTTACGTTTGCCATGGGTTAAGGTTAGCCCATCTGCATTTAGCCACTGCTAATGCTAACCCGGGCTGCGGTTGTTGCTGCGGTCCTCTCATTATCATAACTTTTTTAAATAAATCAGTAAATGGACCACATAGTGAAGCTTAAATAATAATGTTCTTGCCTCCAATTATCTTAAAACATACTTTTATTGAACAACAGCAACAGAAAAGAGAACTTTTAACTTAACACTCGGAGCTCTGTGAGCGCTATCCTGGAAGCTGCTGCTGCCGCAGTGCATGCTGGGACAGCCGTCAGTCTGGAGAACGGACTAGTCTGCTCTGATGCATGCTGGGTAAAGAGGGAGGGGCCAGAACACCATCCGGGGATTTTCTCAGTCTTGTGTTCTTGTGAATTGGAACAGTGCTCCCATCAGACCAATAAACAGACTGAATAGGTTTGTAGTGACAGTAAAAAGGAAGAGGAGCACCTGCACCAGTTCAGAGATATTAAACTTAATTTCAACCAAAATAGACTTCCTAAAACTTGAAACTAGACTCTTCTCTCTTCTCCACTCATTGGGGATTCCACTCTCTATTCCTGTTTCATTTGTTCTGAGTACAGGTGCTGGTCATAAAATTAGAATATCATGAAAAAGTAGATTGATTTCAGTAATTCCATTTAAAAAGTGACACTTGTATATTATATTCATACATTACATACAAACTCATATATTTCAGATGTTTATTTTGTTTAATTTTGATGATTACAAATGACAACAAATGAAAATCTCAAATTCATCATATCAGAAAATTAGAATATTGTGAAAAGGTTCAAAATTGATGGCCCCTGGTGCCACACTCTAATCAGCTAATTAACTCAAACCACCTGCAAAAGCCT